ATGGCACGTATGTGTAACAGTCTTTTAGCAACGGTCTCTAGCCATCCTCCTGCAAAGCCACGTTGTAACCCCCAAGCCACACGTCTTCCATCACCATCCTCTTCCCGACTTTTCCTTCTTTCTGTGTCTTGGGCTGCAGCCTCTTCTTCCCCTTGATTCCTCTATGCTTGAACCACCTGACTTTATCCTCTCACTGCACTGTCCCCTTCCCTTTGAGTTAGTGTGACATCTCTCCAGTGATGTCCTGGCTCTTTCCCTGGGCACTCTCTCTGGGAATGCTGCTCCTGGGTAACTGGGAGAGCACCGCCCCCAAATGACTCCTCAGGCTCTCCATCTGCCAATGGACAGATTTTTCAGTGACGTCTCCTTGACTATGGGGTTCCTTGCTCATGGGGTTCTCATCTTTCTTCCTCTTTTCCTTGTAAGCCCTTATTGCTACTCGCACTTTGTAGGTTGGACATCTTTTCTTTCCTACCAGATCATGAGCTACCAAGAGTAGGATGGTCATCTTTATTGTATCCTAGCCCCTCATTCATTGACTTGTGTGTCATTCCCCCTCAAATCAAGACTGGCCCCTGGTTTGAAAATAAGATTAAGAATTTCAAAACAAGGTGTGTCCATCCTATCGAGTCACACAGTGTACTGTTGCTCAGAAGAACTGGCTCCACCCTCAATCGTTGATTTATGACTATGACGAACCTCGTTGCCATCTCCTGCCCTTCGCATTTTGGTCAGTAGACTGTCTTCACGTTTCATGATCTTATTTCCTCAAATGTCTTACGGTGAGGGGTCTGACTGGAAAGGTAGTTTTGTTATTTTGGTAGTTATTTCCTCCAGTTTACCCTTACACTGTGAAGGTGCTGCTTTAGCTCAAGACTCAATGGCATTTCTTGGCTTTAAAATCATGTCATTTTCCTCCTGAATGAAGTGCACTTTGATCACAGAGATGCTTCTTAATAGTGTCTCCCAAACTGCAAGTACTTGAAAGTAAGACAGGAGCAGGAGGATTTGAGGTCATCCTGTGAGACGCGGTGTGCTTACAGTCAGGCCTCTGGCCCCTTGGCTCGTGGGTGGCTCTGCCGGATGCACAGGGAGAGGACTAGCAGGAGGTGCGGATTTGGAGAAGGAAGTGTATGTGTGGCTTGTGAGTACAAGGGTTGAGCCAAGTGTCTGTTAGACAAAATGTCTTTTTCTTTCCCTCAGTGATTTATGGTCATAATTACTATTAGTAGGTGGCTGATATTTAAAATGAAATATGGTCCTTCTTAATTTTAGAGCAAATAACAACACAAATAAATTAGCAGTCAAATTAGCATATTGACTGGCTGGGTGAAATATGCATAACATTTGCAACCCTCGTAATAAATAACTTGAAAATATTGCTGTTAACGTTTGCATTTCCCCCCAAGGAGTGTTGGAGGTCTCTCTGATGTAGTTTTTCATCCGTTCCCTGGCATGGATCAAGTTCAGGCAGAGGCTGATAGGAGGTTCCAAGGTGAGGATTCCAGAGTTAATTGAAATGCACGTCTCGTTCAAAGCACGTCTCATTGTCAGCCATGATGAAAGCAGAGGATGGAGAGAATATAAAGTCACCCCCCGCCCATGCCTTTTCCAGCAGAGCTCTGTCATCTGCTGTTACCATGTGACAAACACTGAATTCTTAATGTGAGCTTGTCGCATGCCTGACACATGTCTCCATGTGTTCCACGATCTCGGCCTCCTCAAGGTCTTTTTATGAGCACAGATATAGAAAGAGAGAGTGTACCCCTAGAGTGCTTGGGGCCCTAGAGGGGGTGACGGGGCTGGAGCCCTGGCCAGGGCTCATCACATGCATCCTAGGCAGTGGGCTCTTGATGGTGGAGGCGGTGGTCATTTTTTGCCTGATGGCAATGAATAGGGCCATAGAGATGAGTCATCATAATGAACAGTGTGTATAACCCCTGACAGAGAAGCCAAGCAACGTTCTCAAGGTCACAGAGCTTCTGTAAGGAACCAGGTGTGGAATCCAGGTCTACCGGCTCCCTATCTAAGGAGCCCTGGTGGCTCTGTGCTCTCCTAGACCATTTCTCAAGCGCTCACTCACGACCACTCCTTTCAGGTGGCTTTTGACTGTTTGAAAGGAGGCTGCCTGACTCCCATGTTTCCGGTTGAAGAGGTGACTGTGAATGAGATGGGAGTGGAGAAGGAGGGCCGGGGTGAGGTGGGTGAGCAGAGTGGAGAGGCATGAGAAGCAAACCACACACTGGGGCCGATTCCCAGAGACAGCAGGTGGACATGTAGTTTTAAAACTACCTCCGACTCTCCATGAGCTAATATCCTTATTTCAGAAGAGTAGAATCTTTGCTGAGAATTGCTCTCCCTAAAGTTGAGCTTTCAAATTCATGCTGCTCTTCAGAGCGCTGTCTCGAGGTGGCGGGATGGCACCGGCCTGGCCTAGCTTGGCAGCCAAGCTGACCTGAGGGGGGAGTCCTGCCCTTGCCCCTGTGAGTTGTGGGACAGCAGAGCAAACTCCTCTTTCCAAGGTTGGCTTTTCTGGTTTGCAGTACAAGTTTGCAAAGCCTACTTCTTAGAGCTGTTTTTAGGATGAAGTGTGATGGATGTATTCCAATTCTCCCTTCCATGAGCCGTCCTGCTTCCTCAGTTCTGGGTGGGCAGATATTTGTTTTTGAATTCCCTGTGGATCCAAGTTCCGTGGCTTGTTCACACATTTTTGTTGCACATAATTGAATGCTTTACCTTGGAAGGTTTTGAGACCAATTCCCCCATGAGGGTGTTAATGACTGTGAACTTCAAAGTAACTCAGTGAGGGGAATGTCTTTGTAATTAATCATTTTCTCCTCATTGATTGGTTTTCCTTCATTCACTCATTTACACCGGCGGCGTGTGACACATGCCAGACACATGGATAAGTGCAGAGGAAGTAATTGAGGGTAAAGAGAGACAGTTGACACGGTTCTGGACTGGGAGACAGCAGTACTCCATGGAGAATAGCTTGCCCTTAAGTGGATTGTAGCCATACAATAGGATGAACACATTGCTGGACCAGAACTGACCAGCTTGGCTAGTTAAGGGTTTTGGAGCTGGGCCTTTGTGGATGAGTCTGAGTGTCAGCTGGAGAAGCAGGGATGCTCAGGTAGCTGTTGTCAAATGGCCTGTATGCGCGGATATACATTCGATGGATCATGATAGAGAACCACTCATCAAGTACTGATGGTATTTGTCCCATCTCTTGGGGCTTCCTTGTTCACACCTTCCTTGGCACACCTCCCTCTACCTTAGGTTGATGGCCTTTCTTAGTGTTTAAAGTAGACTTGGCTACTGGGTAGCAAATAAGCCTTCTCTGACCGCACTCCGTGCACCTTCACGGCAGGTCAACATGTTTGGCCTTGCACTCCGTCTTCACATACCGTGGAGGCCCCACAAAGTCGTAGCTGCATCTCCTTCTGCAGAGCTTGTCATTCAAAGAGTTGTTGCTCCCCACGCTTCGCTATCTTTTTTCTGGTGACTACGGCTTCCACTTCTGGAGAAGGCTGTCGTGCTTGGTAGCGCAGAGGGGCCCGGAAAGAGAGGAAAGCCCTCCATGAGATGGGTTGGCCCAGGGGCTGCAACAGGGGCTCAAACATAAGAACACGCATGAGGACGTGCAGGTTGGGGCAGAGTTTCGTTCTGTTATCCGTAGGTTTCCTGTGAGTCAGCACTGATTCGACTGATGGCACCTCACAACAACAAACTTCCTATTCCACGAGCCCTGCGGGGAGAGTGGGTTACGAGTTTAATTTGTGGGATCAAGGTGGGGCTTTCTGCTTTCATACAGGTTTACTGTCTGAGAAACCTGAAGGTGCCTTACAGGGCCAGGCTAAGTAAGAATCCTCTCGATGGCAGGAGTGGTGGTGGATTTCCTTTGCCCTGGGTGTTCCTTGTTCCTTCCATTTCCTTTGTACCCCTCTTCCCCACTATCCACCTCTTCTCCTCTCCCTCATCTGCTTTGGCCCAGCCAGTGATCCCAGGGGGTCACTGTCCAGCTTTAAATTGTACAGCACCACCTCTCTCTCTCCTTCCTCTAGTCCCTGGCAACAAATGCTAGCTGATCGCTTATGTAGCAGTCGGTGCGTGTTAAGCATCTAACTGTTTAAGAGAAAGACCCAAAGGGCTCATGAGGGAGAGGGAAGCGGGGAGGGAGGGGAAAAGGTGAGGACCTGATGCCAGGGGCTTAGGTGGAGAGCAAATGTTTTGAGAATGATGAGGACAATGGATGTACAAATGTGCTTTACACAATTGATGTATGTGTGGATTGTGATAAGAGTTGTATGAGCCCCTACTAAAATGATTTAAAAAAAGTGAAAGAAAGAAAGACCCAGGACAATGGATGTACAAATGTGCTTTACACAATTGATGTATGTGTGGATTGTGATAAGAGTTGTATGAGCCCCTAATAAAACGATTAAAAAAAAGTGAAAGAAAGAAAGAAAGACCCAAAGGTCCTAATCTGAGCTTAATGCTGTTCTTGCTTGTGGCAAGGCGGACTTTGGCTTTACCCAAGAAGCCCCCAGGTCTGTGCCCGTTGGAAAGCTACTAGCCTCGTAGCATAGAGGCCAAGCAGGGGATGTGCCTAGTTCACCTCTTTTCCTAGGCTCAAGCTCGCTCTCCTGCCTTCTTCTGGAAGGATTCCCTTTGCCCTTTGCCAAGGATCCTTCTGTCACAGGAAAGCAAAATGTGTGTGTGTGTGTGTGTGTGTGGTGTACTTTCTTCTGACATGGCAAGTTGCTGCAGGGCACCTTCCTCTCGTCGATTCAAGTCAGTGCCATACTGTTCTGACCTTCTGAATAACCCAGCGGTATTCCCAGAGAGGCAGCTCGAAAGAGCCTCCATTGTGGCTTGGTTCTGTAGCATCCGGGTTCTTGAGCTAGCCTCCTGCCCTGGTTCCTGCGCTAGCCTCCGGTAGATGCCTTCTTGTCCTTTCCTATCTCAACTCATTTCTCTTTTCTGGTTTTCCCTCCTAGGCTGCTTATTTGAGGATGACCTCTGCAGAGCATCTGAGGTCTGTGTGAACGGTGAGTATGAAGGTCGCGGCTCACACGTGGTGGTTTTGCTGGGCTTGCCTGTATATCCGGCCAACCAAATGCAATTTCAATTAAGGGCTTCAGCTAAACAGCACGGAGGCTGGTCATCAAGCTCTGTCTGAGTGAGTTCTGTTTTGTTTAATGATTCTGAAAAGAATGGTGGAGCAGAAATGTCTCCGGGGGCTATCCAAGGGGAGAAAAACATGGGGAATCAATGAAGTGAAAAATATTTTTTTCTAGGACTATATGTGCCTGCATGTTTACCAAGTCTGCGTCTATATCCACATTTACATCTCAGTCTGTTGAGATTTAAGGGAAACTTTGCAACAATAGAGCCATCAAGGATAAATTCTTTATTAGAGGGGAGAGAGGAGTTACCCAGATTGAATCCACCTGGCTGCTGACATCATTAGTATATACCGTTTGTTCTCCTCACATCCCCACACCTTAGTTGGGCCACTTTTCCGGCGGTTTCCTTGCATCCAACCCATTTCTGTGCTCTCTGTCAGCAGGCAAGTTGTTTACTCTTGATGTTGCCTGTTGTTTTCTCTTAGCAGATGTCTAGGAAAATATATTTGACATTTTGTGCATAGAGATAAAATCACTCAGCGATAGGAAGTAAGAAGGCTACAAATAGTCCCCCACTGGGATGGGGTGGGGTGGAGAGCTCCATTGCTCTTTAACATACCTTTTCTTACAAAGGAAGCAGGCACTTAGTGCTTACACCATTGTCCTGAGAGAGGATGAAAATGATCATCACCATCGTCTGGAGTCCAGTTATAAGCATTTTAATCAAAATTTTATTTGGGAGTAAACCCAGTTACTGCAGCCAGGAAGCTCAAGAGGAGCTACTAAGGTCTTCAGTTGGAGAAAGACAGCAGTCCCTTTTTACACGGAACTTTTGAGGAAGTCAACTGGAGTGAAATGGCCAGGTTCTGGAAAATTGTCATTGAAGCCAAGGCGGGCCTTTTCCCGGTGGGAGCAAGTTTATGATTGGGCCGTGGGAAATAGCAAATTATAGATGGCTGTGGGGATACCTTGGTTTGGGTTTTTCTTCTTTTTGAAGAGGATGTGGTCAAGATTGTGCTAAGTGGTGATCTGCACTCGCGGACAAAGCTCCAGCCACTCCATCAGACTGTGGGGTGGGGTGCTGGGAACACACCTGTGACTGGAAGTCGCTGCATTGGTCCTCCGGTCGGCAGCCTGGCAGGTTGTAGCTTCTGTGCAATGTTCTCCTTCAGGCAGCTGCACTCTGTGCTTCTGGGACCTGTACCTTGTACAACTTTTATTTTGAGGCATCTTTTAAAAGATGAAACTAACTTAAAAAATACGTTATCTGCCTGGACTTATAAAGAGAAGGAGGGGTGAATGTAGTTGTGTGTGTTTGTGGTGTGTGAGAGTGTATGTGTCTGTAGGTATGTGTGTGAGTGAACATGTGTGAAAGGCTGTATATGTGTGGTATGTATATGTAGTATGCTGTATAAGTGTGAGTATGCATATATCTGTATGTATGTATGAATATATGTCTGTGACTATATATGTGTATGTATATGTGATCATGTGTATATATGTGAATGTTTGTGTGTATGTGTATCTCTGTGTGGGGGCACATGTCTAAGGGCATACACATGTGTATGTGATATGTATACATGGTATTTGTGTATTGTGTTGGTGTGCATATGTATCTGTGTAGTAAGAGTCTGTGTCTATGGGTAGATGTGTGTATGTATATAAGCATGTATTTGTATGTGGGAGTGTGTGTGTGTGTGTATAGTCTGTGTATGTGTATGTCCATGGAGTGAGTGTGTATGTGTGTGTGTGTATGTGTATGTATCTGTGGGTACATACAAGTGTTTAATTTAATTTGAGACATACGTAGTACCAGCAAAATAAGAAAAGCCTGTAACTCCTTTCCCCCTCTCTCTTTCTTTGGGACACTAAGCAGGTTCAAATGCCATGTCATAATCACACATTTGTTTTCTTCTCTAACATCAAGTTGCTTCCCTAATATGGGATTACATGAACATTATATTAAGACAGTAGCTTTGAAGTTCTTGGGAGTCGAAGGGAATTTAAATGTAAAGATGAATATTCAGGGACTTGATTTATGGAAACAGACAATGTTTGCTATTTTTCTAGTAACATAAAGGCTTCGGAAACAGCAAAACAGGCTTTTTCAGTCTTATGAAATCATGTGGTTTGTGTAGCTGGTAGGAAGTAATAATAATAAAACAAAGTGTACCCAGCTGTTATTGAGCCCAGATTGATGATTGCTACTGGCGACTCTGTAATGCAGCCTGACAGCTGGTCGGGGGCAGATAGAGGAGGCCAGGCAGCCACAGTGAAGACAAACACGGTGAAAATGGACGATGGGCAGCGTTGTAAGTGCAGGATGTCACGTTGTCAGACGCAGAGCCAATCTCTCACTCACCCTGTCTTGTTTCCTCTCTTCTGAGGCCACAAATGGAAATACGCAATCTTATGAAGTGTATGTAGGTTTGAACATGTGTGTGCATCATGAGATATGGCAAGCAAAGTCAAAAGATGAGCCCTGGGAAACACCCCAGCACCATACATGAAGAAAAGGAGCATACCCTTCATTACAAGAGCACCTACCATTTATATGCAAACGCCAAAGAGCTAACCAGGTAATTTACAGAAGAAATGAAAATGACCAGCAATTATATCAAAGCAGAGGCAAGCACAATCATTTTTATAGGGGCAACCCCCCCTGAAAACATCTCTGTTAATGGTCGCTATAATTCAACTCAGGCCTGCATTGACTGACCCCTTGTGCACCAGAGTAGAACTGAGATCACAGGGGTTTTCAGTGGTTGGTATTTGGAAGTTGATCTCCAGGCCTTTCTTCTGAGGTGCCTCTGGTGGACTGAGAGCTCTAGCCTCCCCGCCAGCAGTCAAGCACATCCACTGTGTACAGCACCCAGGAGTTCTGGAAGCACCTGTGAATACACTGAGATAGGGATTCTTTAGTATGCAATATTATGTATCTGTTAGAAATGAGTTGGATCAACATTTTCAGACTAGAAACATGTCCATTCTGCTATAATTAAGTTGCAGAGGTGGTTAAATTGTGATCTAAATCCGTAGGGAAACCCATAAATGTATATGGATTGGACCAGGAGAAAGAATGTAACAAGGAACACTGGCTATCTGTTGTGGGAACTAGGAGTAGCTTGGAAGAGCCCTGGCAGCTGCTAACTGAAAGATGGTTGGTTTGAATCCATCCCCCACTCCTGGGAGAAAGAGGATTCGCTCAGCTTCTGCAAAGATGCACAGCTTTGGGAGCTGGCGGGGACAGTTCTACATTGTCCTGTAGGTTCGATATGAATTGGAACTGACTTGATGGCAATGGAGGGACAATTTGGAGAGGACATATATGAAGAGGTTGTAATTTACATTTAAATACCCATTTACCTCCCTATATAAATATATAGAATAAATATATAAAAATTAAAAAAATATATATATATATAAAGTAGCAAGGCCTGGTGATGTAGTAGTCAGTTACACGCTGGGATGCTAACTGCAAGGCCAGCAGCTCAAAACCACTAACTTACCCTGGGGAGAAAGATGAGACTTTTTACTCTCATAAAGAGTTACTGTCTCAGAAACACACTGGGGAGGTTCTACCCTGTCCTATGAGTCTGGTCACTATGAGTCGGAATCAAATCAATGGGAGTGAGTTTTGTTGTCATGGTGGTTGTTTATTAAAAACATGAGTGTGTTACTTTTTTGATAAAAAAATCTACTGTGATAAATTAACGAAGACATTTAATCAAAAGTCTCTTGGGGTGATTCTGAAATGCAGATCTGGGGACACCCATTGCTCCTGGGCCTGAAGCTGCATAAGCCAAGACTCATGTCCACAGCCCCAGTGGAGCTGCCCTGTGGAACCTTGAGACTCCACAGTTCTGGGTGCAGATGGAAGGTTTCATGGGAAGCCAAAGGTGGGTAGATGGACTGACAGATGATGCACGGAGAGTAGGTCCTGGGGAGTGTATCCCTGGAGACAGCAGGACTGCATCACAGCTCTGCATATCAGGTGAGCACTGAGGGGAAGCTGGAATAGGAAGCTGGGGACAGATTAGCCACAGAATTCCAATGAGTTATGTGGACTGTACTTAGGGGGCCGACAGGGATGGACCCAAGAATTGGATTCAAGGCATGATAGCCTTGTGATCAACTTCCAGCTCAAGGAAGCATCGTCTGCCAACAATGGGCTCAAACTTCGCAAAGATCGTGGATATGGTGCAGCATTTTGTTGTGTTATGCGAGTACCCTGGCTACCACCAGTCAGAGCTGACTTCGGGCAGCTAACAGCAAGCCACACCAAGTGTCCCAGTTCTTGGGCAGTGCAAATAGTTAGCTCACATGCTTGGCTACAACTGAAAGTGTGAGATAAGAGCCTGCACAGAAGAAGAAAGGTCGCACTGGACTTCTGAGAACCCAGCCATTGAAAACCCAGTGAAGCACAGTTCTACTCTGACACCCATGGGTTTGCTGTGGGTCAGCATAGGCTTGACACAACTGGATAATCAACAGATGGAGCGTTGATAGCATGTGTGGCTAAAAGTCTCCTGACTCAGTTTAATGGGAGAAGGGGGAGCTCTAGATGGGGAACTAGTGGTCCAGGGCAGCAAGGAGGATGAGAAGCTGTGGGAAAGAGGAGGGTCTGAGCTCAGAAGCGAAAACCAGGCTGGTCAGGCCATGCCCTAAGTAAACTCTGCTCCTTTGGCTGTAGGTACTTTGATGGTCTCTGAGTTGCCTCTCTTCAGGGTGCAGGTACTCTACTCCACTTTTGGGCCTCTTGTTTCTCAGTAAGAGGAGCCTTCTCACTCTGTTTGAAGCACTAACTCTCTCCCTCCCAACCCCACTTGCTTGGGAAGGACGTGGGTCTGAAAGCTGCGTCCTCATGCTGAGGTTCTGTAACCCCCGCAGTCTAAGGTACAGCCTCTGGGCCAGCTAGTCAC